CTCTCTCTCTCTCTCTCTCTCTCTCTCTCTCTCTCTCTCTCTCTCTCTCTCTCTCTCTCTCTCTCTCTCTCTCTCTCTCTCTCTCTCTCTCGTACATTTCTCTGTTCAGTAAAAATTATGACAACACATTACTTATTTAGTTTTGAAATTTTAATCTACGCATGTATTACAAATAATTTGAATGCCTCTTTCCAACATCTTGACCGAGTATAATCACGGCCGGGAAATGTCTACAGATACATGAAGTTAGCTAAAATAATCGTCATAAAAGAATAAAAAGGCACATAAATATAGAATATATTGCAGCAGAATCTAAATAAAACGAAAATTTTTATGCAGTACGATAACAGTCAATGGCAACAGATAATTGTGAATTAAAAAAAAAATCCGTTATTTTACTCAGAATCGGTTTGGCACGGAAATACATGTACGGTTGTTTCAACCCCGTACAATGTATTTAATTCATTCTATAAGTAGTAGTTTTATCTTCAGAAGTCCACATCATTTTATTAGTGAAAAGAATAAGCATAATTATTTACTATATTAGTAGATTAATTTATTTTTTAACTACACGCAGTAACAAATACACGGTTGACGGCGATTAAAATCATGTTATTAATATATCCATTTAAACATAGGTATGTGCAGAAAAAAAATGTTTTTAATTATTTATTTATTGATTAATTAATTAATTAATTAATTTATTTATATATTGTTTATCTCAGTAGAAGTTTCATCTTCTTAAGTCCGCATTATTTTATTAGTTAAAAGAATTAGCATAATTATTTACTATATGATTTATTTATTTTTTAACTACACGCGGTAACAAATACACTTTTGACGGCGATTAAAATCATGTTATAAAAATATCGATTTAAACATACGTATTTAATTATCTATTTATTTCTCTTTTGTTTATCTATCGTTTATTTATATTTATTTATGACATTTGAATTATAGAATAAAAGAATAATTTTAATGCAAGGAAAAGACCAAAGGCATTCCGAATAAATCGTTCATCTTGCGTTCACCGTTCGTTCACCGTTCACTTTGCGCTCGCGTTCCGTTCGCGTTCTGCGTTCACTCACCGTTCACCGTTCAACATCGTTCACCAAGTTGCGTTCACCGTTCACACATCGTTCACTCACCGTTCGCTCTGCGTTCGTTCTCCGTTCGTTCAGCGTTCGTTCACCGTTCGTTCACCGTTCGTTCACCGTTCAGGTGGGAAAGTAGAACGTTTCAGGGACTGTAACCCCCTCGATTCTCAGGTATATGTTGTTTCAAATAAATATTCTAATTATTTTTCCTGAATATTCCAAGCAATAAAGGTGATAAAGGTAATCTTTTTTTTTTTTTTTTAGATTAACAAATCCATTTGACAGTAATCATTGGCTTTTATTTTCCATCATCAAGTTCAGACAGTTCACAGGAAGTCCGTGCTATATTTGTAGTAGCGTGCTTGTGCTGTCAATCATTCAAAATAATTCGACACAGTGGAGGTGTGGAAATCGCGTTTCACCGAACATGCCGAAGGCAAGGAGTCACTTAGTATTCCAAGAAATTTTAATATTTGACCCTATCATTTCTAGATCTGATTTTTGCAATCCTGCAGAAAAAAAATAATGGAAGGATTCAGTTTTAAATTGAATGTGAAACATATTCCCTGCCAATTTAAAATACTACTGTCGGCACAAGTTTATACTAAAATACTATTGTTTAATGACTGATTGATGTTGGTTTTAAGACTGATTTTCTTGTGTTACAAGAAAAATTAAATAATAATTAAAATATACTGAAAAAACTCAATAAGAATTTTATTTCGGGAGAAATGGCACCGGGGGGGGGGGGGATCTCAATTATACTGAATAGCAAAAAAAGATATTTTTTAAACATGTTAAGGTACGGAGAAGGAAGGAATTTTTCTTCTCTTTAAAAAAAATATTTTAAACAGTTGGTCTTTTCTAAAAATTTAAAACCACACCATCATTTTAATTAGCTCTAAAAATATTTAATTAACTAAATATTTGCAGTTCTGTTCATAGTTCTCAAACCTATATGTAGTTTAAATACGTGTTACTGTAGAAATAATTTTTTTATGCATTCTTGTCCTGTGAAAGACTTTTTAATTATTAATTATTATACATCCATTAATAATTTGTCCTCTTTAAAATTATATCAAATTGATGCCGTGCGTGAAGCATTTGTACATTGCCCTTTTTGAATTTTATTTTTAGCATTCGTTCTACATACACGTAGGTACTTAATGTATTAATTATTTTCCAGGAAATTCATGAAATAAGTAACAGCTGAGTTATAATAATAGAAATATAAATATCATAGATAATTTTTGCAATGAAATGATTATTCTTTAAACACGATATACAAGTTATTTAATTAAAAAAAACATGTAAATCCTTACCATCAAAAAGATAGGTCCTTTCACTTCGGAGTTCAGAATGACAATGAAGACTGAACGATAAGTGAACGGTGAACGCAAGGTGAACGCAAAGTAAACGGAACGAAGAGCGAACGGTGAACGTTTTGTGAACGGTGAACGCGAGCGCACGGATCGGTGAACGCAATACTGTGAACGAAGAGCGAACGGTGAACGCATGCTGAACGAACGGTAAACGAACGCTGAACGAACGGTGAGCGAACGGAAAAATGGGAAAGTAGAACGCTTCAGGGACTGTATATGAATTCAAGTCTACTTTGTCATCTTAAATGCATAAAATGAATATAAAAAAAACAAAAGTTAATCATTGTTTTGCGTGTATTATTTTATAATTATTCTACTTTTATATAGCGCCTTATATAATTATGGAATTACCCTAAAGCGATTTACACTTAGAAAACAAGTACAATATAAAACAAAGGACGAGTATAATAAAAAACAAAAAAGTAAAATCATAGGTCAATTTTTTAAAATTTTTGTTCCCCCTTTTTTATAAAATTGGATACTCCATTGTGACTAGAGCCTTATAAACTAAAGATGAGTTTTTAAATATGTGTTTTTAAATTTCTTTTAAAAACGTCAAGTGACTGTTCTTTTCGAAGATCCTGCGGGAGGCAGTTCCACAGGGTGACTTAAGATACATCAAACCTTCTAGCTCCATACATCTTACTTCGATTGCGTGGTTTTACAAGGCTCAGTGAATCCCCAGACCGTAGTGAACGTTGTGGGGATAGACCTGAACAAGTTCCTGGATGTATTCCGGGGCGAGCTTCTGTAAGGCCTTGAAAGTGTACAACATAATTTTATATTGTGCATGGTTTGCCACAGGTAGCCATTGAAGAGTTATGAGATTGGTGTTATATGCTCATGTTTTCTCAAACGTGTCACCAGTCTGGCTGCAGTGTTCTGAACTTTCTGCAACTTTTGTAAGGATGTGGCATTGAGGCCAAACAGTAGTGCATTGCCATAATCAAGTTTAGATGTCACTAAAGATCTAACGAGTGTCCTGCAAGCATCCTCTGTTATGAGTGATCTTATTCTACCGATGTTACGAAGATGGAAAAAAAAACAGGATCTTGTAACCGAATTGATTTGGCAGTCCACTTTAAATAATTCTACATTGTTAGGAAAGCGTATTAAAATTTATTATCTTGGCTCTGATTAAGGGTGCACCCAAGTATTTTATCTTCAAAAAGAAAGATTTTGTTCCGTTTTACTGTATTACAGGTATAATTTGAGTGAACATTTGTATTTACAAAATTGTATGTATTAAAAACAGTAAAAACACACACACGATACCTATTATTCATATTGTTTAATTGTTTAACATTTTTAAAGCAATTAGTTATTAAGAGACAATGAATCAGGACGTGATTGACTGATTCTCACAAACTGGATGATCCGTTTAGAAAAAGTAAGTGTCCTGCAAGTGATTTATCATCCCTATAATCCAGTAATCTAGCAATAATATTGCATCGTGATTAAATGTTATGGATTTTCAGGGCTCGAATGGGAGGGTATTCATGCAATATGATAATTTTTTTTCCAAATAAATATTGTGATGTCTGAAATAATCAGATTATCAGATCGTAGTATTTCCTTTTCTTGTAAAATATGATCAATGTAAACTTCAACTTGTCCGACGACAATAGTCTGTATGTCGCATCGATTTGAAACATGTTGCATGCTGGTGGTTTTTATCGGCATATCCTCATCAACAGAAATGTTGATTATATAATTTCTTAATACCTTATCTTCTTTCTGGCAATCGAAAGTTATTTCAAGCCTTCTTTTTTAAATTAACTTCTCCTAAAATTTACGTTCTAAGCAATGTTTGTAAGTTTGTTGATACAACTGACTTTGAGCAAAATCGTTATTGGATTTTTAAAGCGCCAAGTAAAAGTCAAACCAATACAGTTCAAAAATCACAACTCAGAAAAAAGAACTGTGGTTCTGGTTTTACTTTACGTTGATGAGGGAGTGCGCGTATTTGTCTACTTTAAGATAAAAGTATACATGAAAAAAAGGCAGAAAAATTTCATTTATTTAATTTTAGCCACATGGGTTAAATACATGTACTTAGACTGATGACGTCATTACTTTTTACATATGTGATTTGTGACATTGAATGGTAGTTTTTTTTTTTCAAAACGACATGTATTCTGTCAATTTATGTTTCTTTCACAATTTATAGAACTCAGCACATTTTAAGATTTTTTTTTCAAAATTTGACTTTTGTAGGGACAGAGATATTGCTATGGGTGCTGACTCAACAAACTCGTTTTTGATTATTAATACAAATGTATATTCATATACTGTATATCTTAACTTTTTTCTTTTTCCTGAAGAAGGGACAGGGCGTCCCGAATTAGACATTTTTTATTGTTTGTTTCGTTGGTTAATTAAAGTGCATTATATAAATTTCCATCCGTGACCTTGTATCTACTTTGTAGATCCCACACTTAGGATATACAGTGTTGTTGGGTTTTAGTGTTTTTTTATATACTGTATTGTAAATATAATGTATGTATTAATTTTTTTATAGGAAAAAGACGGATTTTATGGACAGCTCTTGGATTTGCTACCTCGAGATTCGAATCTTAAGAAACATTTAAAATATGAGAGGTGTTTCTTTGTCAGCTTTCCTTGTGACGAAGGTGAAAATTTGGAAGTTTTATCTGAATTAGAAAACTGCATTGCTTCTATTGCCAAAGACAGAAGATGGAAAGAAAATATTCCTAAAGAATGGTCTATAATTGAACTGGCTCTAATCACAATGAGAGGTTCAGAAAAAACCGTTTCTATCGAAGAACTCAAAGAGAAATACTGGAACGCTAAGAAAAATGAAAGTTTAAAAATGGAGGATGCACTATGCTTTTTCCACGATATTGGATTGATTCTTCACTTTCAGGAGGAGAACCTTTCAAATACTATAATTGTTGACGTCCAATGGTTTGTTGATACATTTAAATTCATAATATCAGACAAAAATCATGTCCGAGACTTAGCAGAAACTGACAGAGACTGGCAGTACTTCCACAGGACTGGGTATCTAATGGACAATTTCCTTAGTCGAATTTGGGAGAGCTTATCCATAGACTTTTGGGAAAGGCCGACCATTTTGCAATATATGCAAAGACTAGGATTACTGGCGATGGGGGAAGTAAAACACTACGTCCCATGTATGAACAAAAGAGACTTCGGTAGAAAGGAACAGATAGCCTTACGAGGAATGGAAACAAAGTCATCTGTATTGGTGCTTCATTTCCAGTTTTTACCGTTCTTTTTTTACTGCCGATTGATAGTTGCCTGCATTGTGGGAACAGAGTGGGAGGTGGTAGAAGATGAAAGTATACCAGGCTTGTATAAAAACATAGCGATTTTTGTATACAAAGACCACCTAATTGCCTTGGTAGTGACGCAAACTGCAATTCAAGTCCAGATTTTGAGACCACAAAACGCACCTATTGATGCTAATATTGCCGGAAATATTAAGGAGACTCTTGAAAATAGACTTGGATACTTAACAACCACATTTCACAAAAAAGTTGCATATAGGGTTGCATTTCAGTGTTCACATCAAGATGTTCTTTGCGATAATGTGGGGTGCTATGTATATGAAGACGAAATATCTGGGAAAGGTCAAATATTATGTCCAAGACATGGATTTACAGGAAAACATATGATAAACGAAAACGCTCTGACAAAATTCTGGAGAATCGTAAGTGAACTAAACAAAAAAGATCATATCAGAAATTAGCTACAAAGTTTTAAGAGGATTTTTTTAATTTATATATTTCTAAAGTTTTCTATGCAATGTATTTACATTAATTCTTTAATATTGAAACAAATCTGTAAATAACAACTTTCATTTGTCATGTATGATTTTAACATTTGTCATTTTAAATCTAAGGACGCGCCATCTGTTTCCTGTGCTAAATCTGCAAAAGGTAAGCAACTCATCTACCGTAAATTTGGAAATTTTTTCGTCGATTTTATTTTGCGAATCTGGGTCAATATGCTGTTGATTAATTTTTACGCTTCAAATTTTTGCGAATGACCACTACTTTGTTTACATTTTCTTATTGTTGAATTATTTTTAATAAAAATATTTTTGCGAATTCAAAGAACTCGCAAATTTGCTAAAAATTTATCTTCAACAAAAATTTCAAGATTTACGGTATATGATTTTTTGTAAATATACAGACATATTTCTTATCAAATATTTACATAATTTGAAAATTATAATTTGCAAAATTATTTAATTTAAATGTTAAATTGACTTTGGTTTGTTGCAGTTCCATTGGCAAATGAGGAGAAGCTTACAAAGCTTATAACACTGGGAAGAGATGCAATGCAGGCGTATTTTGATTCCATTTTTCCCCCTGAGGATTTACAAAAATGCCTCAAGGATAACAAGGAATCCCTTTGTAATGGGCCCTTCAGATTCACAGCTACTGAAGTTAGGAATGTTTATCCTGGTAATAATTTGTGACAAACATATACCCTTAAAATAAAGAAATAAACAAAATGAAATGAAGTTTTTCCTTAAGATATGACTAAACCGAATGATATTTTAATGTTTTTTAATATCCTAAACATTATTAATACTCATCCTCCTGTTACATCACAGCTTCCGGGTCAGTTGTAGATGCCTCTTCCTTTGATGTCCCAATCATGTACAAATTATTGAGAAATTTTGGAAGCAACATTCCACCGCCAACTAATGGTTGGGGAAAAGAGCCGACGATTGGACAGAAAACACAGGGTGACGACATTGAAAGAATCCGCAAGTACAGGAATCAGCTTTGTCATAATCTTTTTAAAACACAAAGCATGGATGACGAAGATTATACCCTTTACTCTGAAGAACTGACCCAGGTAAAACCCCAGACTTTTCCTTTTTATTAAACTGGGTAGTTTATTTTCTATCTTTGAATGAGTACTTTGGATATACCTTTCATACAGTATTTTCATTAATATTACATACACCTATATTAATTCTGTTATATGATTTTATCATTCATTTATCAAAGACCTATGTATATAATAAACAAATGCTACGTATTTAAGTTTAATGTTTTATTCGAGTTGGCAGGTATTGTCCACAGTGGTCTACACAACAGTGGGGCAGCCGGCAAAATGGCATACCCCCAACATCAACATAAGTTGTGCCCTCCCTGACGGGAAAAGTAGCACGCTGGGTTGACCTCATTCGTGCTACGGACACATTTCAACACAAATTATCTTTTATAATTATATTATTTTGCTTTAGCTTTAAATTGTATAAGATATAATTTTCAAAGTCAACATCACATATATCAACATCAACCATCACATATATCAACATCAACCACAAAAAGTCAACAAAATCAACAGTTCAATGGTTAAATTGAAGGTGACGATTTCGCCAATACGACCACTGTGAAGTATAGTTTACTGTCTTTCCCCGAACTCCTCGAATGGATAATTCGCCCAGTTGACCCTTGTCATGCATGGTATTCGGCCAGAGATCATTCCAAAGGTCCCAGAATACGGAAATAGCAGGCAATTCAGATCAGCATCGTTAGTCTCCTTCAACGAAATCTCTAAAAAACAAAAACCCACAGCAGAAAAAGATTCTCAATAACATTTGCATAACTCTAATAAATTTGGTATAGCCAAACCATGTAAAACGTTATTTAAACAAACAAAAGGAGAAAGGTTATATACTTAACACCTAGCTCAAGGGTTGAGGTGGGAGGGTATTTCATAATACAAAAACATAAATCGGATACTTTCATCACCCACCTTTCACTTTCACTGATGCATAGAAAAGGGGAGATAACCCGCAAACCTAGTGACTAAGTAGCGACACTGTATGGATGGATAAATAAATTCCGGCTTATCACATTTATAAGTTTTTTCCACAAAAAGGAGGTGAATGATGACATATAATAAAAGGATAGAGCTTTGATAACGGCGCATATTGTGAGATGAACTCAAATATGCGGTATTATCAAAGACCTATGTATATAATAAACAAATGCTACGTATTTAAGTTTAATGTTTTATTCGAGTTGGCAGGTATTGTCCACAGTGGTCTACACAACAGTGGGGCAGCCGGCAAAATGGCATACCCCCAACATCAACATAAGTTGTGCCCTCCCTGACGGGAAAAGTAGCACGCTGGGTTGACCTCATTCGTGCTACGGACACATTTCAACACAAATTATCTTTTATAATTATATTATTTTGCTTTAGCTTTAAATTGTATAAGATATAATTTTCAAAGTCAACATCACATATATCAACATCAACCATCACATATATCAACATCAACCACAAAAAGTCAACAAAATCAACAGTTCAATGGTTAAATTGAAGGTGACGATTTCGCCACATGGGCACCGTAGGTGCACACCGCCACCTGGTGGGGGTAGGCAACTTCAATTTAACCACCCACCGTGGACTCCTAGCCTACTCAAAACCCTCAGAAACCCATCCATCGTGAATATCACTCTCTCTCATTGCCAACCCACTGTAGAACTATCCTGCATTAATTAATTGGGCCTAACGCCCCCCCCCCCCCTCCTGAATTTATATATTTCCAAGTTACTAGTATATTGATTTGGGTCTCAGATTCCATTATTAATATCCAGCTGGCAAGAAAGAACTACTACCTGGACTAATGTAAGAAAATTATATAGAAAATACGTTTTATTTAGATTCCCCCCCCCCCCACTCTATTTATTTGTTTATAAATTTGAGTTTTATTTCTTATTTATTTATTTTTTAGGTGATAAAATACTTTCATGCAGAGATTAGAAACAAGATGAATGAGCACCTTTACTCTTTAACCCCCCCTTTCCCTTTCAGCATGATTATGCTATTCCTGTATTGTTGACAATAATTTTAAAAGTGTTCACATGCCCAATTTGTAACCTGCAGAACATGTTTTGTGATATTTGGTAACGTATCTTGCCAGTTCTGAGGGAATGATGTTATACATGTACCACTTATTTTGAAAGCGAACTCTTCAAAGGACCATTTAAAATTGATTAAATCTTGTATATAATAAGTACCTTTCAAACCAAGACACACAATGGAGGACTTTGTATTTACTGCTCATTTGTAAATGTAGTTGGACTGCAGCAGACATTGAAGGCACATATGACTAAATCCTTCATTCTAAACCCCTTCCCAGCTGATGCTCTATCAAAAATGCATGATCTTTTCACACCTTAAGCCCCCCCCCCCCTCCTTTGCAGAAATATGCTATGGATTAGGTTATTTAAATAATAGACTTCAAAATCTTTTTAAGGCTGTAGAAAATGGATATATGATAGAGAGCATAAAAAATTAATATGCTTAGTCAGTGGAAACCTATCCTATATCCAATACCCTAAAATGCTGGAGAAGTTTATCTTAGACTTATCTTAATACTATGAATCTTGTAACTCCTACACACATGTGGATTTGGATTTGTATCCCCTAGCTAACCTGAATTTATACCCACTAGCTAATGCATGGATGTAAACTGCATGTACATATATATGCACCGACTAATGCATCTTAATCCCACATGAGATAAATGTGTAAAGTAACATAAAATAATTATGCTACATGTAACTGCTCAGATGAGAGATAAACACCTATCATATTACATGCAAATGGCACCTGGGTTTGAACTGGTATTTTCAATGGGAAAATGCCCCCTGAGATATGCATATGTGTCTTAATTTCCAACAGTAATCACATACTATTAAAAAGAAAATATTGTAGGAATTGGTTTGGATTGTAACCTAGCCTGTGGAACAATGGTTAACCCCCCCCCCCCCGCTGTTAGGTAGTTAGGTAATCTTGCCTTTAGTGCTTATTAGTGATAAAGAAAACTAGTTACCTAAACAATTTACTCTTTGCGAGTTTAAGAACTGAGAATATAGAATTTTAACTAAAGCAACTTTTATCTGTGTGAAATAGCAAATCTTAACAACTTAGAGACACAGCAGAAACCAACACTGACAAAAAGCCCCAATTTGAACCTTATAAGTCTCATTATAACCCTTTCTATTTTATTTATTTATTGATTTATTTATTATTAATGCATGACCATTCATACAGCATATGCCATATTTGGAAAATACATAGAAGGTACCAGCTCTGTGAGCTGTGTTCAAATGAGCCTGCATATGCATTGACTGTAGCACCTGAAGAACTCTGTAAATTGTCCCTCATTCCCAATGCCAAATTTAATAACGAGTAAAATTGGTAAAAGTTCAGGAAATTTGAGTTGCAATTCCTATTTTAAGGTTCACTTTTCCCAATGAGAAAGATAACTCAAAGCAATAAATGTTAATTATTATGTTAATTTCCTAATTCTCTTGACAATTTATTTATTTCACAGTGCTTCAATTAGCCTATAAATTATTATTATTTAACTTCTTTTTACAGTCTTTTATTTGTAGAATTGTATTTCAATACCCAAAGTTCTCTTCTTGTATAAATATTAAACAAGTGACTAGACCCATGTTTTTAGAACATTGTCAGGAAATAAAAGCCCATGCTGAAATTAATCTCTGTGTAAATAATCAACATTTGTGAAATAATTTACATATAATAAATTAGTAAAATAAGTTTACCTTTTTCATGTTAACTTAAGATGGTACAAAACTTTTCATTTACTAAACACAACTTTATAGGATACAAGGCCTTTATGCTGTTAAGGGGTGAGAAGACATTAAGGAGGCCAGGGGGTCAACAATTATTAACCACCAGATATAAATTTAAATTTTGGGATATGATATCTTAAGCTGTCAACTATCATTTGGCAAAAAAAAATTTCATAAATTTTAGCTTTAAAATTTGATCAGTTATATCTTTATTGAGCTCTTCTTCTAAAGGAGATCCAAATAGCCTAAAAATGGCCACAACCACCCAGCCCCTTTAAATGTATGTGTTTATATTGTGTTATCATCAAACCTTCTCAATTAAGGTAAAGGCGCTGTTAGAGAAATTCATGATTATGCTCATGTACACTGGAAACGGCTTCCAAGGAACGAACAGCATGGCCTTCTTTTATTTCCTTTATGTATAATTTTAACTACACCATTGACCAAAATGACAACAAAGAATATATGCGAAACATGCCCTTCGCCCCATCTTACTTAATCTGAACCCTTTGATATATATTAACCAGCAAAATAGTAGCTAGCCTTGCTAGATATTACATGTAGTTAATTAAAATAAAATTTGGGGAATCCTATTTATATCAACTGTTACTAATGAACCATTGAGGTCCTAAATTACTATGCCCACATTGTTATTGTTCTTGTTGAATCTGAAGTTGTCCTCCCTATCAAGCCCCTTAAGAGAAGTGATATCCGAATAGGTGAGGATGCTGCTGGTCCTAATATATTATTATTATGTGGATTTGACAGACAATGTACAATTCAACTCTGGTGCATGTTACCTATGCCGGGTATGCCTCCCAGATTTTACAGCCTGAATTGTTGATTGTAATGCTTCCATCCAACTGAATTTTTTGACTCAAAATATATTTACTTTTTTAGTCATCATTCATATTTACTTACCTTGAGTTTTGTCATATAGCATGGGTACAACTGTAATATGTATAAACAAATACACATCTTACCTGATGTTTCAATCATATCATAAAATGCATTATTGTAATGTTACATTCAAAAGCACCAAAACTTGTTATGTATTTTACTTCAAACTATTTTATTTCACAATTGATTACTGCCTTTGTCGCAATTGCATATCTTTCATGCCTCTCTTTGGACCCTTGTTAAAGTTGAATGGCCTTGATTGAAATTTATATACTTTAATTAGAGTTCTGTCCCTTTGTGAATCTAGCTACATAACATTTCTAAAGATTTGTCAAACTTTTATTACTTCTCAATCTGTATTTTTTTTTATTTATTCACTGTTTTAGGACAAAAGGTAGACTGGTATGGCACAGCTAGGGTAACCCTTGAACATTTATTTATTTTTTAAAAATCACTCAATATCTGATAAATGCACCAAACCCAAAGTTACAAAAGCATTCTCATACTGTAAGAATTATAATTATGGATATTCCCATTTCTAAATCCCCTAAAGATTGGCTAAGGGACCTAAGTAACTAAATATAGGCCACCATGTGTACGGATGTTTATTGGCAAATGACCTTGAATAACATGGACCGAATAAAGTTGAAGTTCATACCTATTTTTACATTATCTCATTTTGTTTATATATTATTTCACTAAGTAAGTTTTTATTCATTCAAAATCTGCTGATGAAGTTGGTTATTATTACCACATTGTAATTTTGTACCATGTACCAGTGTTTAAAGCATGGACGGGTGGCAAATCGATCTGTTTCAATCCAATAAAATACTTGCCATCGGGCAATATCAATGTTAATAAGATAATCTGTTTTACTTCTTTGACTGAAACTTAACTTTAAAAACTGGAAATTATTATAAAATATTTCATAATACAAAAACATAAATCGGATACTTTCATCACCCACCTTTCACTTTCACTGATGCATAGAAAAGGGGAGATAACCCGCAAACCTAGTGACTAAGTAGCGACACTGTATGGATGGATAAATAAATTCCGGCTTATCACATTTATAAGTTTTTTCCACAAAAAGGAGGTGAATGATGACATATAATAAAAGGATAGAGCTTTGATAACGGCGCATATTGTGAGATGAACTCAAATATGCGGTAATATGTTCAATAGTAATTCATCAATATCTCTAAAATGCTAATTTACTTAGCATCTTGAATTATACCTTTTGCTAAAATATATTTGGAATAATACAATATTTTCAATATAAAAATTACCGAACATGATGCTTAAATACTTCAATTGATCTTACAAAGAGACAAAAGCACGGGGAAACTTATTTTAATCCGACATGATATTTTATTTTCAGGCAATACTGAGACTCACAAAAGGATCTTTTAAAAGTAGAATTTACACCATTTGCCAATAGATTACGTACAGACGTAAGAGTTTTCAACATTGAAAAGTTACCTCTCCCTTATCTAAGATTCCAGATCTAAGATATGCTTTTTCCTAAGTTACACTAAGTGTTGCATTATGTATTGATATACACAAGTGAGTTTAGACTAAACATAGGTGGCGTTTCTTTGCAAATGAGCTAATAAAATTGCATAAGTTTTATATTTTATGTACAGAGAAAGTTAGTGTAAACTGATTTTTCTTATGCATACTTGGTGCCCGCAGTATACAAGTGCAAATGCACATTATGACGATGGCTGTTCTTTATCATTCAAAGTAATAAAACACATAAACAAAACAACAAAACAATATGGGCATCTCCTATTTAATTTAAAATAAATAATATATAATATTAAGGAGAATATTCTTAAAAATTCAGAAGGATGCTGCACAAATCCTATGCACTTTCTAAATTAATAAAACCTTAGGAAACTTACTCTTGACTTTGAATTTTTATACTATTTTAACTGAAAACTTAACAATAGTAACTAAACCATTGGAGTGTCGACATTTGTGCAGTAATATCTTAAATCATTGAAATATCCTGCGTCTTTTTGTACCTTGTGTATGTAAGACAAAGTCAAGTATGCCATTGCACCGAAGCGAATTTGTTAATGTTTCTTATAAACTTGTGTAGTAGAGGTCGATGAAATCATAATATGACGTCATAATGTGGCGTTCGCATGTCGTTGGTTCCAGGAATGTTTTAGTAAACAAGTCTTACTATTTTCTGTGTAGTAGGTAGTGCAATTATGGGTTTTAAATATATATTTACATAGAAACCTCCAAAGGTAGCCTTAACTCACCTGCGTAAGTAATTTTTAATCTTAATAATCCTTTGTTTGTCACTGTATTCCTCAGATTGTAAAGTGATATGAGACATGTTTTTTGAAGGTAAAGAATCAACAATACAGAAAGAAAAAGAAGATATTGAGAGACAATGACCAGGTGTTACACGACTTGCCTCTAATGTAATAAACATATAAAAAATCTTTAAAGCTTTTATTTGGTATCACATGCAATTTTGATTTTATTTTTTATAATGAATGTTGAGAATTTCTTTGATGTGATTGTCAAGAATGAAAATGAATAACTATTTGTTATTTATTAATTGATAAATCATGAAAATAAATTACGTATGATATTCGAGATTCCTCTTCTTGAATGTCTATCTGATTTGCATACAGTCTCAGTCAATGTTACTTGGAGCACAATTATATGTAGGTTCTACTTTTGAGAGTTGGTAGCCTATTGGCAAATCAAATGATTAATTAAAATGGCATAGAAAAATGGCATGCGTGATTTTTAAAAACAAAAAAAAATACTATTTGCATATATGTGTCTATTCAGTTTTGACCATAATCTAAGAATTTGATTTTCTTTTACGAAACTTCATTCTTCAACATAAGCTGCCATAGGGGAGTATCATCGTTTCAAAAACAAATCTTGCTGCTACTGAAGTAAATAACCCCATTTACAATTATTGAATTCTACTCAAGCAAAAATATTATAACTGAAGTAAAAAAAAAATCACAATGGCTCTTTCAAATGATATTCCAATATTTTTACTAAACTAAAAATCAACCGATAGGCTAGACTTGTGACGCAGTTACATAGAAAAGGACTGCCATCAGGCACATACTGTATCTCAAATCACATGGGTGTTTAATCTATTTTCAATAATTCTAAATTAATTAGCGGCAAATCCGGCATCATCAATTGTCAAGTTGTGCATGTATAATTCTGATTCTTTAAGTCGTATATATCTAAAGCTATTTTTGTCAACAACATGATTCTCCTTGAGTTTATATTATGAATGAATCTGTCAATGTATAGCGTGACAAACCATATTCAATTATTTACAAAAGAATATTGTTTTCACACATTTTGCAACGATTTCCTTTTCTTCATTTCAAATACGGCCCATCAAATGATAATAAAAAGTTTGCGATAATAAATTCTTGAAGACCTGCACAGAGATTAACATTTAGTCAAGGTTTAAACATACATCAGAATCTTTAACAAAAAGTTTAAGGAATTTCAGGGGAAAAGTCCAAAACATCCACATTGACATTTTGATTGAATTGAAACTTCTCTCTTCTCTACAAAAAAAATTATGCTAAAAATAAGGAAATTTTCATGTACGTTCAAACAAAAAATAACACAAAACAAAACTGTACGAACGGCTTAAAGACTTCCTCTGAAGTTATAACAAATCCTTTTTTTTATTTAAGATTAAAAGGATACATAAATTATTAAATTTCATTTTTGAAATTTTTATTAAATGTTGGGGGTGACTGCAGAACTAAACAAGTCTCGTTGAACACATGTTAATCAAGAAAATTTTCGATATTTCCAAATTCTTGAGATCAAAAATTAAATCAAAATTCATTAAATTGCTCGTTGCAATTATATCTTACCTCATAAATTCAATAAAAATAGTACCAACTTCAAAATGCAGATTCTTATATTAATTATTTTATGAAATAAGACCTTTCTACGCGATTTTTTTAGTAAAGAAGGATATGGATATTACGAACAGTATTCAATCTCAAAGTCCATAAAACAATACAAAACAAGAGCAGAGCAAACATGGACCCCCGAAACATCAGATTTGTGATCAGGTGCCATAGAGAGTGAGCATCCCCTTCCGACCAGTCACACCCGCTGTGTGCTACTTGTCATGATCGTGAAATAACGGAAAAATCCGTCGTCAATTCACTGTATAAATAAGGGACTAACAATTGGTATGAAAAACGTCAGTCAGCATTTGACTCAATGATAAATTTTATTTGCTGACAATGTCATTGTATCGACCATAGATCTTACGAAATGATGACTTTAAACGAGACTGCTGATATTCTTGTTTCATCAACTTGGTTGTCAATAATTAAGCTCGCTTTAGAAATTGATCATACGTAGAGCATGCTGTTGTGTATCGAATCAACTGAGATATATATATACTCCGTATGCAGGTGATGAAGGTATATTGCTGCATAATAAGGGAGTTGACGATAGAAAAGTTAAAGTCATCACGTTTATCATATAGCTTGGTTGTTAGATTACCATAAGTGTCTTTTTCAAGTAAAATATCAAAGTATGTAACAGAAGGGTCGGACTCTGTGGTATGTTTTATCTCAAGCTCACTATGATATATCGTATCGACGTCGGAATGGAAATTACCATTATTAATTGACATAACGTGTTTGATATATCTAAATGTCGAATTGAAAGCAACAGCAAGTGTTTTATTCTTTTCACGCATACGATTTTTAAAAATTTAAAGATTAAAAAAAGTTAATTTGATTTAAAAAAAAATCCAACAAGCTCTAAAAATACGGTTATTTTTTATGGCAAATAAAAATAATCATGTCAATTTCTTACGAAAGCTCAGAAGGCTCATCGAGATTCAAGTTTCAAAATACGAGATTCAAAGTTCAAGATTCGAAATTCGAGTTTCGAGATTCAAGATCCAGATTAACCAATCAAAAGGCTCATTCGAGAGTCGAGGTTCAATATACGAGATTCGAAATTCGAGTTTCGAGATTCAAAATCCAGATTAACCAATCAAAAGCGGGTTCAACTTTTGATTACTCCCCTTTATTATGATTTTATTATCAAGAAATCATTTAATATATTTATAACAAATGAGTCATTTGATTAAATTATAATGCAAGAAAGAGTGTTATATATATAAGAAGGAAATCTAAATAATCATTGGATTTTTGATCAGCAAGATATACTTCAATTTATATTATGACTACTTAAATATTAAATAGAATACATATATCAGGGGTATATATATATTTGCATTGTCTCCTTTATTTAAAGGGTTGTTAACATAATAATAAAGTTATAAATAGTGTCTAAAGATTAACAAAATCACCACCCCTACCCGCAACACCTGCCCATTTTTCCCGACACTAAAAATGTTACTTTAAAAACTTGAAAGGCAATGTAGCCTTGATAAATAAAAACCGCGTTTGTTTTTCTAATAGAGGGAATACATAAAAATAAAGTTTTCAATTACTTATCTTCATCTAAGGCTTTGATTTCTTGAATTAATTAACAATTATATATGCAATACAGATTGCCAGTATGAATTAAATTAAATCCAGCATTCATTTTATCTGATATCAAACAGTATATTAGTCTAAATTAGCTGCAGAACTATAGCAAAATGGTTTTATATTTTAGTCTCTGACCATAGCGTTATGGTCAAAGAATAAAATATACTCGTAAGACCTTGTAAAGCTACAGTTCGATTCAGCAGTCAAGTCTCACTGCACATATGTAATCTTTATAAATGTAATGAAATATAAATCCTTGTTTTACTGTACAGTGTAGAGACGATTCATGATATTTCATAATTATTATAATCAATAACAATATTCTCCCTCAGCTATGATCTGATAGAAAAGTCTACCTACTTATACCGCAAGTCAACGATAAGACAATATAATATTCTATATATACGTATTTACTGTGTTGTTTAATGAGAAAAATAAGATTAAATATGTATATTTCAAGATGTAATATAAATCTTATTTTTAGTTCGTTTTAATACATAAAACTTTTTTCTTACATTATCATTTTAGAAAATGATCATATTGTTATAAATATAATCAACGAATTCTTGATACTAAAAACATAATAAAGGGAAGTAATCAAATGTTGAACCCGCTTTTGATTGGTTAGTATGGATCTCAAATTTCGAAACTCGAATTTTGAATCTCGAATTTCGAATCTCGTATTTCTAAACTTGAATTTCGAATGATCCTTCTGGGCTTTCGTAATTTCTTTTTAAAACTTTGCTGTTTTTAATTTGAATCAATGAAAACGTCTAACGTTTAACGAAACATTTAAATTCAATTATTGGAGAACTCTTTTGAATTGTATCTTGCTTTATTCCGTTTTTTTTCTGATGGATTGATTGTATATTGCTTAACGTTCCGATAAAGAGAATATTTCACTCATACATAGACGTCAGTGAATGCTAGTGAAAGGCTCTAAATATAGCCCTATTCTCGGCTCTCAGGGCCTTTGAACAGTGAGGGTTCTTTATCGTGCCAACGCCTCCCGTGACACGGAACTTATCTTTTAACGACGACGGACCTAATTCATTTCTACAATAGAAATTTTACTCAAATTTTAATATGAGGTAAAGTGACTTTTTCTGAGTTAAAATCGATGAAAAAAATATATGGTCATTGATATAGATTTTTGATAGGGAGCGTTTCAAAAGTAGGCAACGGAAATCGATGATTACTATAGAAAGTAATGTGAAAATACGAGTTTGTGGTATAAAAGTGATGATTAAAAAAATTTTGCAATAGAATTTTTATTCATATTAAGAAACCATGTTAACAAAATAATTTAGTAGCAAATAATGCCAAAAAATAAATAGGTCATCGGCCTAGATTTTTAAAAGGGGTGTGTCAAACTCTGGTGAATGGCATTTTTTTGGGGGGGGGAACTTTCATTGAAAATACCTTTGCAAAATAAGTTTTGTCGTTTTATTTCCTTATTCTTCAATTTACTTTTACACTAAATAAAAATAATAGTTTAAAGTTGTTTAAAACTCTAGGGATGGTAATAAAGTAGGATTTCTGTGAAATATATATGCGTATAATACTCTAGGGATTGTCTCAAAGTACAATTTTTGTGACCCACGTCCCATGGGAATTAATATCTGAAAGTTTGATTATTTCAAAAGAATCAGGGGCAGTAAGCATATACGAGCTGCCCAATATTTTGTAGCGTTTATTATTTTCCGAGCATGTAAATCCTAAATAATTAACATTCCATCCACAAAAACTGTACTATATTCCTTTTCTTTTAAATGAAAACACAGCGTAAAGTTCACAATTTATTAATGGCGATAAATCAAAAGCATAGAAAATAAACAAAACGAACGAGTGACTTGGTCAAAACTTTCCTAACTACTTCTGCGTTTCTACAATTCTACCCCTTATATACTAATTAAACTCACTCCTCCCATGACGCAATAATTTAAC